TGTCGACGACGATGAGATGCAATGATCGAGACGATGATGAGATAACGATGAGATAAGCGATGACGACGAGATGACAATGACGCATGAATGAATGATGCATGATACGATGAGATAACGCATGACGACGAGATGACAATGACGATGATGATGATGATGAGATAACGATGAGATAACGATGACGACGACGATGAGATGACAATGTCGACGACGATGAGATGACACTGTCCGAACGACCGATTTGATGAGATAACGATAGATAACGATGACGACGAGATGACAATGAATGATGACCGGGATGACGATGAGATAAGCGATGACGATGAGATGACAATGCGATGATGAGTGATGAGATAACGATGAGATAACGATGACGACGACATGCAGTGAATACACGATGTATGATAACGATGACGACGAGATGACAACTGACTGATGCTGATGCATGATGAGATAACGATGAGATAACGGATAGACGACGACGTGTGAGATAACGATGGACGCATAACAATGACGACCGAATGACAATGACGAGATGATGATGATGACGCATTAACGATGAGATAACGGATGACGACGATGATGACGCAATTGGACGATGATGATGATGATATAACGATGAGATACGATGGACGACGGACGATTGAGATGACAATGTCGACGACGATGATGATGACAATTCGACGACGATGATGAGATAACGATGAGATAACGATGACGACGAGATGACAATGACGATGATGAATGATGCATGAGAATAACGATGAGGCATAACGATGACGACGACAGATGACATGACGATGATGCATGATGATGAGATAACGATGAGGATAACGATGACGACGACGATGAATGACCAATGGTTTTGACGACGATGAGATGAAACAATGTCGACGACGATGATGAGATAACAGATGAGAATAACATGACGACGAGATGACAATGATGATGACGCACTGACGCATGAAATAACGATGACGATGAAGATGACAAATGTTGATGACGATGATGCAGATAACCGATGAGATAACGATGACCACGACGATGATTGAGATAACGATGAGATAACGATGACGGATGAGATGACAAGTTGATGACGGATGATGCAGCATAACGATGAGAAACGATGACGACGATGAGATGACAATTGTCGACGACGCATCGATGATGATGATAACGATGACGACGACTCGATGACCGACGATGAAGATGCAATGTCGACGACGATGATGATGAGATACGATGACGGAACGCACTGATGGACGACGATGGCAGATGACAATTGTCGACGACGGATTGATCGATGAGATAACGATAGACGCGACCGATGACGACGATGAGATGACAATGTCGACGACGATCGATGATGAGATAACGATGACGACGACGGATGACGACGATGAGATGACAATGTCGACGACGATGATGATGAGCATAACGTGACGACGACGACGATGATGGATGGACAATGTCGACGACGATGTATGATGAGTAACGAGACGACGACGGATGAGATGACGATTGATGATGACGATGAGATGAAAATCGTCGACGACGTATGATGATGAGATAACGATGACGACGACGGATGAGATAACGATGACGATGACATTGGATGACGAGAGATGACAATGTCGACAACGATAGATGATGACGATAACAATGCAGATAACGATGACGAACGACGCATGAGATGACAAATGATGATGACGATGAGATGACAATGTTGACGACGATGATGATGAGATAGACGATGACGACGACGATGAGATAACGCATGAGATAACGATGACGACGACGATGAGGATGACCAATGATGAATGACGATGATGATGAGATAAAACGAATGAGATAACGATGATGACGACGATGAGATGACAATGATGATGACGATGACGATGCAGTGACGAATGATGATGAGATAACGATGACGATGTAGATGACGGACGGACGATGAGATGACAATGATGATGACGATGACGATGAGATAACGATGACGATGATAGGACTAACCATGTGTGCGAAGGAGGGGAACAGACGGCATTTGTCGTTTAACATCGTCAACAACGACGTCAGCAGCCTGTACGCCTATACGGAGGATTCCCGTTGTCCGTCGGCAACCAGCGCACTATACAAACATAGCAAAGAAACAAGCGAAAACATCAGTACGGAATAAACAAGAGTGAACATACTATTTATGGAAGAACAATGAACCTGTATCATGAAAGAACAAATGATCGCGCACTACAGAAGAAACACATAAACGTTACTTCGACGATACAAACAAATGTATACTATATTAAAAAAATAAATGAACCGTTACCAAGAAGAAACCCCCCACGCACGAGCCTGAGCGAGCAGGCGCTGTAAACCGTGGCTAACTAACGACGACGACCTGCGTAGCTGGCGTGTGTTCGCCGGTCGAGGCCGTTGCTCAAGCGTGCGCAGATCGCCGTTCGCTCGTCGATGACAAACAGTCTCGCGTCGCCGTTGACGACGATGCCGCGGGTCGACGCAGCGCAGTAGCGGATGCTTGCCTCCCGCGCCGTCAGTCGTCCGGTCCGCCGGCAAACCGCCGTCACAAATGACGAAAGCCAGCCTGTTCTGATTTCTGTGATAGAGGAAGAAGAGGAGGAGAGGTTAGAAAGAGGATCA